CTTTTAGTGGAAAATGGTATTTAGAAGCCAAGATCTGAGAGCCAGGATGCTCAAGATTATTGGGATGTCACTGCTTCCAGCTGCTTCCAACAGGCAGTACTAGGGAATATCTGTAAGTGTGTACATAAATTATACACACACATCTGTGGTTCTGTATAAACGTAGAAGGTACACACAGAACCACAAGTTTACACGGATACCTCCAATTCCAACCCAATACCATGGAGCTCATTCGAGTGTTCTTTCTTTTCATCTTTCTCTCCCTCTGCTGGCACTCCCTCTCCTGCATGGAAACCTTTTCCCTGATCGGCCTCCAGTCCCTGTGCCAGTCTGCCCCCTGAATGCACACCCTTCTCTCCCCTTGGGCTGAGTCACCTCACGGGACTGACTTCCTCTACGGATGCCCTCCTTTTCCTTCTCAGGCTGTGACAAGCTGCACTGCATCGTTCCCATGCGCGGATGCTCTCCTTACCCCACTGGGCTCTGACCCCCAGACTACCAGCTTAGGGACTTCTAATCCTTCCTGGGCTTTCATTTCTCAAGTCCAATGAATGAATGAAGGTCCTTGGCACTCATCTCTAGGCAACAAGCTACTTGATTTCCCCTGTTTACCGTTATCTCCACCACTAGAATGACTAGGGGCGGGACTCTGGGACTGCCTCTTCACGGCTGCATCCCCCAGGGCCTAGAGCAGTGCCTGACACATAGCAGGAGCTAAGTAACAGTGGTAAGTAAATAAAGACTTCTGCAGCAAAATGAATTTCTGAAATGGTTCTAAGCAGGGAATCAACATAGCCAACTCACGTTAGCTGACAGCGAAGGAGGAAGATTGGTGTTAAGCTGGAAGGAGGGAGGCCAGTTGGGAGAGCATCGCTCTAGTGGCCTGGGGCAGGTGGAGGGGGGGTGGGCAAATCAAAGGTGCATTCTGGACGCTGAATCAATGTGCTTCAGTGATAGAGCGAGGAAGGCGTTGCTGAGAAGGAGGGAGGAGTCAAGAATAACACTGCCGTTTCTGTGGTTTGAGTTCTCTGCATTGATAAGCAGACACAAATTTAAATTACATTTGCATACCAAGTTGGTACTCATTCATTCAAGAAGTATCGTGTACCAACCATGTGGCAGCCGAGCACTGGTCTCTGTGCTAAACAAAAATTCCTGGGGCGCCTGGGTGGCTCAGTCGGGTGAGCATCCAGACTCTTGATTTCAGCTCAGATCATGATCACAGGGTCGTGGGATCAAGCCCCACATCGGGCTCCAAGCTGAGCGTGGAGCCTGATTAAGATTCTCTCTCTCTCTCTCTCTCTCTCTCTCTCTCTCTCTCTCTCTGCCCCTCTCCCCTGCACAATCCCCAGCTTGTGCTCTCTAAAAAACAAAACAAAACAAAAAACAAAGAAACCAAAACAAAAATCTCCTGCCCTCCAGGGGCTGACATTCCATGGGGAGAAGTGGGTAAGACACAAATAGGTAATCACGTCAGGCAAGTGAGAAGAAAAACGGAGGACAGAGAGTGACAGGGATTGGCAGTGCTGCTTTAAACGGGAAGAAGAAGAGGGCCTCGCTGGTAAGCTAACGCTTAAGGAGAGACTTTGAAAAGTGGCCCAGTGAGCCATGTGGACGGATACTGGACACTCGGCTGTTTTCGGAAGAAACAAAACCCCGAGAAGTATGGCCACAAAACACTATTGAAGACTCAGTCGTCACCAGCCAGCCGATGCAAATGACGGCTGGAGAGGACAGAACATAGAATTTCAGACTTCACAGCAAGGGGAGTTCGGGCACGAGGGCCGATTGCAGAGCAACTGACAGAAGGCAATTCAAATTTTCTAGGGGACCCGGAAGTCGTTTCAATTCCACAGATACATAATCCAACTGGGGGGGAGGGGGAATTTATGAGTTACAATAGGAAATACACACAAAGTCCTGGACGCCTCCAAATTCCACCACATCTCAGGCAGGAGTTGGACCACTAGCTCGTCACCACAGTGCTCCGCAGAAGGGCCAAGGGCCAAAAATGCTTCAGAAGACTCTTAAGGCCCTGACCATGAAGGAGGCTTGGCATCGAGACTGAACACATAAGGGGTGCCTGGGTGTCTCGGCTGAGTGTCTGACTTCCACTCAGGTCGTGATCTCGCGGTTCACGAGTTCGAGCCCCGCGTTGGGCTCTGTGCTGACAGCTCAGAGCCTGGAGCCTGCTTTGGATTCTGTGTCTCCCTCTCTCTCTGCCCCTCCTCCGCTTGCGTTCTGTCTCTGTCTCTCTCTCAAAAATAAATAAACGTTAAAAAAAAACAACAACAACAAAATAAAAGACTGAGTAGATAAAATGCAACCCCAACGGAGGAATACAATCCATGGTCAATTCATCAGTTAATCGAGGGGAAATACGTGCATGCGAGTTTTGCATCCCCAGAACATCTGGTTTTAAATCAGTAAGTAACTTGTAACTAAGTTTCCTGAATCAAGGTCCCTAATATCCCCACAGGGGTGCTCCTTCAGCCAGCTCCTGGAATTAAGAGAACACGGGGAAACTAACCTGCAGTGTATATGAACAGGAACGAGAAATAAACCTTGGGGGCTGTAGCCACAAAGACTTTGGGGTTGACGGATGCAGAGAGACACCGAGCCTCAACCCCAGGAAAGGCTGGCCGGTCCTTCCCACACCCGATCAAGCACAGACCCTCAACTCCCACCCGCACCAGCGCCCACATTCTTGCTTCGCCTCCCCGCCTCCTCCCCCGACCCACAGACCTCACCAAGCTTCCCACGCTACAAACGTGACCCCTGAGGCTCCCTTGCTCCTCGGTCTCAATGGCTCCCGGCACTACCTCTGTTCCCACTGAGAAATTCAGAAGGGCAGGAGCACAGACCAGGATTCCAGAGACCGAAACAGCCTCTGTAAAGGACTTGCCTTTGTGCCCAGGTACTTTCCTATAAAAATGCCTGTTTCACACGTTATTCCCAGACCTGTACCTCGGCTTGTCATTATAAACATGTATGTGTTCTCATCGAACCCCCTCTAGCGATTCTGGAAATTGCACCCTGCCTGTCCTGTGGCTTTGAGCATCCGTTAGCACAGGCTCATGAACAGGAATCAGTTCTCTAATGAAGCCCTCTTTCCTCTGCTCCCCCCTTTTACTGGTCCCCGCAGTGTCCCCCAGTCACTCCCCAGTGCTGCAGCTCAAGTCCCTCCCTGAGCTTCTGATGCCCCCACTGGTTTCTACTCTTAGAAGTTGTACTCGGCATTCAAGGACAGTCATTTGCTCTCAGGCACCCTGCGGTGCAGTTACCTGTCCCAGCTCCTCCGGTCCAGGCCTTCCCTTCACATTCCTGGTGCCCTGGAGCAGACCGGAAGCACATTACACGCCCACTGGCTACACAGACCTCAGCTGCTGAAAAGCAGGGGCTCAGGCCAGATGATGGCCTCAAGTTCATCCCTGTCAAGAGTTCACTGTCCTGTCATCTTATCCCCACAGCACCAGCCACAAGCGATTCTCTCTCACCGTTCCAGGCTCACAGAGAACCTCAAATTTCAAGCAGCTCAGTCCTGCTTGCCGAGGCTGCGCTCAAAGAAGCACGTTCGTTTCAAAAGAAATGTATTAACACATGCAAGGACTTTGGCCATTTGAACGACGTATTTATGTGAAAAAAAAAAAAAAAAGAGGGGGGAGTTTTAGAGATCTTTGTTTTTCAAGGCAAATGAACACTTATTTATTGCATGTCTGATTTTGACTTCCAGTCCTGGTGAGGTCTACCCTGATCAACTAGATGGGCCCTGATGATGCCTTTTCCTTTCTCCAGTGTCCCCAGACCCTTTGTAGATGGTCTCTGACGCAATACTCCAGAACGCACGCATTACCACAGTGATGGTACTCCGTCATTCCGTATCCAAACTTCTTTGTCATTCAGGGTCGGCTAGGTTATCTACATAAAGTCACCTGGCAGGTGGCGCAACACAGCCCAGACTGTATGCCACAGAACACAGCTCTCCTCGGTCCCGTGGGAAGTGAAGTTCCAGAATACACACACAACCATCTTCCATCTACGAATGGCTTCTACTCCTTCTCCGTCTTCCCCACAGCAGTCTCACCCCTACACGGGGCACCAGGTACACCCAAGGAGTGTCATCCACGCACCTCTAAAGGTAGAAGATTCTGGTCCCACGTCTACACAAGTCCCAGACAACAATCAGGTCACAGGGATAAAAGCAAGGTGCAAGGCCATGCCCCAACATTTCAGACACGGTGAAGTAACGTGATTTAACGTGACAACTGAAACAACTTTTCATTAAGCCCCATTGCCCCTGCAAGAGTATTTCTCGGACAAAAGTTATTTTTCAGGACAGTCTAACCCAACTCAAGCCGGCATCCATCGTGTTAGTTCAGACGAAAGAACGAATTCTGGAGACCTTACTGTCCCCAGGCACGGCTGGACCGGCCGGAAAACATGCAGACCCAGGCCCAAGAGACAGGAGTGCTTGCATATCATTCAAAGGAATGCGAAGGAATGCGACCCCCCCCCCAGCTTGTACACATACAAGTAGTTTAGGCTGGTACAACCAGCTGGGCAACATAATCATCAGATGTACCTAATGAGATCTCTAACATAAGAAATAGAGATATTTTTCAGATTCCAAGTCTCTCAAGATAAAACACAGTTCCTCGAGACCACACCAAGGGGCAGCAGAAATAACCAAGTAACACGTGTTAAACGACTTCACCTCCAACCTACAGCTCTCAGGGGCCTCCTGCCCCAAATTTCGCCCTTAAAAACCCTCACTTGGGTGGGGGTGGGGGGGTGCCTGGCTGGCTCAGTCAGTAGAACCCAGGACTCTTGATCTCAGGGTCCTAAGTTCAAGCCCCACACTGGGCATGGTGCCTACTTAAAACAAAAACCAAAACCCTCACCTGTAAGCCATTGGGCAGTTTGGCACTTGGAGCATGCGGTCCCCATTCTCCTAGGTGGTGTCACACCTAAAAACAGCCTATTCTTCTTCACTGCAAAAGCTCCATGTCCGTTTTTTACTGGCTTGCTGTGCACCCAGGAGACACATCCTCCTCTGGTGCGGATACATAACCATCGACCCTAGGGGAGGCTGTGACACACGGATAAAAACCAAATAAAACCAGAATAAACAACAAGCTGTTTCAGTTTCCTCGAGTTGTCAGCCCAGCCTTACCAGGTGACCAGAGTCCATGAGCTGTGAACCCGCCGCACAACTGGCAGAAATTTGCCATCAAGACACTGAGTCCCAGATTTCTGCAACCTGATGTTTAAAAAAAAAAAAAAAATTTTAAGTTAACCACCCACCCTCTGACACGAACCTGGAAATTTCTAGTAAACGCCTACAGCTTCACATTTTCCCATTTTTTTTCCCCCTGTGTTCTCACCCTCCCCTATTTTGCTCGAAGGGTTAGGTTTTCTTTGGTTCCCGCCCCCGCCAAGTGCCTAGGCAACTCTCCCTGCGGCAACTGTCCTATGGGGACTGACTCTGGGGTTTCACAAAGACAAACTCGAAATTATTTTAACTCTTCTTGAATTGCCAGCGGGGGCGGGAGGAACCACAAAACTCAGGACGTCCTAGCACCTATCCAATCTAGCACGCACCCGCTCCCCTCTTGACCTCAACTTTGCTCCCACTCCCCAATTTCCGACGCAGTGCGACTGAGGCTGTACCTTCGCTCCTGGAATATTACTACCACCCAGAAAACTGTTCAATCACGCTGACGGCAACGACCAGGACCTGCATGGGGCCCCGCCGGCCCCCGGCCTTACCGCCCGCCCTCCTTCACGACGATTCGCTTCTCTCTATCCGCCGGACCAGCTCCACCAACATCTCTGCCATCTTCGCGATCTCCTTGGCCTTCTCCTCCGCCTTCTCGCACCGTTTGGTCCCTCTGCCCTCGACTCCATCGTCGGGATTCTGAAGATGGTTCAGGGCGCTCTCCTCCGAGGCCTCCACCTGCGTTTTGATTTGGATGAGCATATTGTCCATCTCCCACAGCTTGCTCCGGTTCCGCATGTACGCCCGGCCGTGCTCCCGGGTCAGCGCCGCGATGTCCTCCCGCATCTCGTTGATGACGGGCAGCAGGAACTGCTCGAAATCCTCCTCGGGCTCCAGCACCTCCACCTCCTCCGGCTCTGCCAGCTCGACGACGTCCAAGGGTCGCATCTGTCCCGCCAAACCGTTGCTGCGGGCGTCGACGGGTCAGCAGTGCCGCCGAGTTACCTCTGCGAGTTCCTCCTCTCACGCCGTCCGCTCGCAAACCGCTCCGGGAAGCACAGCCTGGAACCCACACGGAGGCCCGGCGGCGGAGCAGTCCGCGCAGCCGTCACCGGCGGTGGGCGTGTTCGCGCCACTTTCGGGACTTGGCCCCGCCCCCTTACGGCCACGCCTCGGACGGAGCCCAGGCGCGGGCGCGCGCACGCAGAGGGGACTCCGTAGCGGGCGGGCGCACGCCAGCCTCCACCTGCTTCCCGCGCCCTGCCCCGCCCCCTTCTCTAATAGGCCTTTGGGAGCGCAGAGGTTCTTACGTCCCGGACTTTTTCTTTTACTTAGTTTTTTTTTAAGTGAAAGCAATTCTCCCTCCCTCGTATTTGAATAAGACAGGCTGGCGTTCAGAGCGCTTACCATCCAGGGACGCACTGCTGTAAGTGCTCAGATTAATTCATTTAACCTAATTCAATAAACCTGTCAGATGAAAAACTGGTTAAAACCAGTGCTTTTGGTCAGAATTTGAACCTGAGCCATTTTGGGTCTACTGCAGTCGCTACTCTTAACTACAGTACCTGCTCTCTCTTCTGGGACAGGGGCCCTTAAGTCAAAAACTGGGGATCTTAATTCTGTACTCTCCACCACTGGCTCCCAGCTTTTTTTTTTTTGTCCTGGGGGGACTTCTCTCTCGCTGGGTTGGGTTGTTCTGGTCAGAGTGTTTTGGCCTCTCTTTGAGGTAGGGGAGCTGAAGGGACTCCATTTTGGAAAGGCTCTGTCTCTGCTGTTTTTCTGCTAAGCTCCATTTACTCACGTTCTATATTTTGCATCCGAATAAGCCAAAGAAGCTGTGTTCCCACTTCCAGGGGGAAAGGAGATAGATTTGTCTTAGACCCCCCCAAACACCTGATAACATCTAAAAAGAGCTGGATCCCAAACATGTTCCACGACATTAGCTTTGAACAAACCTCAGCGGATCAGTACTCCCCTACCTTCGATGATCTATAGAATAACACCTTTATTCACCTGCCACTCGCCTTCGGTCAGACCCTGCCCTGGATTCCTGAAGGAACACATACGCTACACCCCTTTCCAATATAAACCCCTAACCCCAAGTGAGGAAGAGACTCATTCTCCCTTCCTTTCTGAGTCTCCCAGACACTCTATCTGCTAAATGCTCACTCATGCTATTCAGTAAACTCTGTTTTTCCTTTTTCTGGCTCACAAAGCTGGTCCTGCAGGGCCCACCTCTGGGTCCTTGGACCCAGGCTGCCTGCATCATCTTCACCGGACTGTAAGCAACCCAAGACAAAGGGCCACTTCTGTTTCGGCCCTGTCCTTAGCCCCTCCTCACCACCTGGACTCAAGGACCTTAGGCAATGTTTTAGAGAGAAGGCCTCCTTCCCTAAAATATAAGTGTCTCTGCCATACCGGAGGTTCCTCGAGGACAGGTTCTGGTCTCAGTCCTCACCACCGACAGGACCTGCAAAACAGCAGGGCCCCGTAAATGCTGCTTTAATATTCATTTAACAAAAAGTTTTTGAGCACTGACAGAAGGCCATTGTGGAATGGATGGAGTCTATTTCCAGGCATGTTCAACCTGTGCCACCCTAGCAATAATTTGGAGGGACCCTGCTTGCACAGTGGCACAGGTCAGAGCTTTTGTTTTCCAGTCTCATAAATAAAGACCAGTGATCCCAGCCTGAGTATCTGTCAGTGGGAAGATGCATAAGTGAGATGATGTGCATGAAAGTGTTCTGCAAATACCAAAGCACCAGCAGATACTAGTGGTGATAATATTATAACGATTATGATAGTGAATGGAGGTTGTTTGATTCCAAAGGTTTTGGAGTCAGACACATCCTTCATTAGGTCCCAGTCCCTCCAATTACTTGCTCTGTGGCCTTGGACAGGTTGGTTAACCTTGAACACATCTTTCTGGGTGTCAATTTCCACCTGTCGCTCTAGGGTGGACATTGGACGTATGATCTCTAATGATCATAATATGATCCTTATAGTCCATAATAATTATATGGTTTACCCAAGATTTTATATCTTGTGTCCTGAGTGCCCCCTTTCACTCTCAAAACTTTCCTTGTTTGGTGAACTGGAATTTATTAAAATTATGAAGTGTTCATCAAAAGCACCATTAAGAGAGTAAAAATGCAAGCCAAAGAGTGGGAAAAGATCTTTTCAGTAGCTATATGACAAACGACTCATATTAAAATCGTACTGAGAACTTCTATAGATCAATAAGGAAAAGACAACGCAATTTAAAAATCGGCAAAAGACTTGAGCAGGTACTTCACAAAAGGGAATATCCACATGGCCAGAAAGTATATAAAAAGGTGCAAAAGTTCATGATTCATCAGGGAAATGCAAGTCAAAACCACAAAGAGTTAGCAATCACTATACATCCACTAGCGTGGCTGAAAAGGAAAATATTGACAATACCAAGTGTTGGGGACTATGTGGAAAGAAGCTGAGAACTTTCAAAGTCATCAAGAATATCAAGCTTTCAGGAACCTTCCTTTAGTTTACTCTCTTCTCTTTCGTTTCACTGTAAGCAGCAAGAGGAAACTAGGGAAGGCAGGAAGCTCTTCACGGGCCCTTGACATGGTCTATGTCTGATCTGGATGGAGGCTACACGAGTGTGTAAAAGTGGACTGAGGATGTACGCATCTCAAAATAGTTCCCTTATACCTTCGCGCGTTAAAAAGGGTTCAGTGTGTGAGCACGTGCGCGAGCACGAGCGTTCAGGGGCTGGAAACCGATTGGTGCGCGTGCGTGACCGCCCGTGTGCGCGCGGAAGCCGGAAGCAAGGGCGTGCGCGCGCGGAGGGGGCGGGGCAAGGCTGGGAGGCCGGAAGTTGGGCGGCAGCCCGGCCGTAGCCGGCAATGGAGGGGCTTCCAGCCGACCGTGGGCTGCCGCCCGAGGGGCCGGCGGCAGAGGAAGCCGAGCTGCAGGGAGCTGTCTGGAGCGGGGACAGCGGCAACGTGTCCCAGAGCCACAGCAGCGCCTCGGGGCCGTGGGAGGACGAGGGCCCAGAGTCGAGCGCGCCGGGCCGCGACCTGCCGCTGCTGCGCCGCGCCGCCGCGGGCTACTCCGCCTGCCTGCTGCCCGGAGCCGGGGCGCGGCCCGAGGTCGAGGCCCTGGACGCCAGCCTGGAGGACCTGCTCACCAGAGTGGACGAGTTCGTGGGCATGCTGGACATGCTGCGCGGGGACTCCTCCCACGTCGTCAGCGAGGGCGTGCCTCGCATCTACGCGAAGGCCACCGAGATGCGGCAGGTCTACAGCAAGATCGACCGACTCGAGGCCTTCGTGGCGATGATCGGCGCCAGCGTGGCCAGGATGGAGGAGCAGGTCGCCAGGGCGGAGGCCGAGCTGGGCGCTTTCCCCAGCGCGTTCAGGAAACTGCTGCACACGATTACCGTGCCCTCCTTCTTCAGCAAGGCGCCCTCCGGCCGGCCCCAGCAGAGCGGCTACGAACCCCCCGTCCTGTTTCGGACCGAGGACCACTTTCCCTGTTGCAGCGAGAGACCTCAGATCTGAGTCCCCCGGGCAGCACTGCAAGGGCTGAGATTATCTCGAGTAGTAAATCAGTTGGAAATTCTGCTGATAGACATACGCGATGTTGGAGTCTGACATGTTTATCTTTTGCACACTCTTATTTCCCCGTCTTCTTGATTTCACGTAAGGATGTTTGGTTTTGTGTGTCTTCCAAGGCTAAGCTGAGAGCTGCTTGGTCCGAGATGGGACCGGGTTCGGAGAAGTAAACGAAGGAGCTTTTCTGTGCACTGTGGCCGAACTGCTATGTTTCTGGGTTTTACAGCTCAACTCACAGTATTATTTTTTCAAAGTTTATATATTTTATACTCTTAGGAAAAACTGCCGAGCTGTTCAGGTCTTGTCATTGTTCGATCCTAGTAGCGATTCCATCTTCTGTAGCTTACTTTGAGGGTAGATGGTAAGTTGTTTCACGTTATATTAAACTTTTCATATCATGGGTTATACACCGAAGGAAACGGTAGAATTTCTGAGACGGATTGATTTATCGCATCTAATTCTGAAGTTGTATTTGAAAGTATGCCCCCACAATCTTCGTTTGTCCACAGCAAACAAGTCTACGTGTGGTTGCCAACGTTTGGTTTGTAATTTAAATATTAATAAAAAGTTTACATTTTATCGGAAAGGCTTTTCTTCTGAAAAGGACTTCACATATTTCCTTTTTTGTTTGATTGAAAATAGACCTGTTGCTCATGATTTTAAGGATAAGGAAAAGTGGCTTGGGAGCACCTCCTTTAGAAAGAAGGCTAATGTGAGGAGTGCCTGGCTGGCTCAGTCGGTTAAGCGACCAGTTCCTGATTTTGGCTCAGGTCATGATCTCACAGTTGGGAAGTTCCAACCCGGAGTCAGACTCTGTGCGGTCAGTGCAGAGCCTGCTTGGGATTCTCTCTCCCCCTCTCTGCCCCTCCCACACGAGCACACTCTCGCTCTCTCAAAATAAATAAACTTCAAAGAAAAAAAAAAAAAAAAAGGCTGAAGTGAGAAACCTGACCTGGTATTTCACAGAATTGTATGTTTCTTTCCTCTCAAAGTAAACACTTAAATCACTTGTGTGAATGAGTGGTATTAGGATTTTGTTCTTTCCCCGACAGCATGGAATCTGAAAAACGTTTTGCCGGCGTAAGGGCTTTGATCTTGACTTGAATCTATTTTATTAATGGTCCTAGAGGGCGCTGGACCCCAGATACACATACAGCTTAGGCGGCTTTTGTGTCATTTCTCATAGATCTCAGAGGCTGGTAAAGTAGGCATATTGTCACTTAGCCATATATCATGAAAAGCCGCTAACATAGTCTCCACCTTGGCTTTCTTCTATGTCGCACATAATACAGTTTTTTATTTAGGTAGTTCATTGATTACAAATTAAGGAACTCCTGAATTTAGAAGCTGAAAGCACCCGTGAGCTCCATTTAATATTGGGCAATTACTGGGGACTGCTGTAGTTAGTATATTCCGATGA